AAAAAAAAAAAAAAAAAAAAAAAAAAAAAAAAAAAAAAAAAAAAAACGACAAGAAATCATGAAAACACTTTTTCCTAAAAATTGCTTTAAAACAAAAAATATAAATAAAATACAGTACGTTTCGTGAGCAATTATGAGCCATGAGGTCAAAGACAGTCCTTGACCAGATCCTCCTCCGCGAATCGCCACCTTAACGTGGTGGAGGAGTTTGAGTGGCTCAGTGATCCTGGGAGCTATGTTGTCCGGGGCATTAGCCCCTGGTAGGGTCTCCCAAGGCAAACAGGTCTCAGGGGAGAGCCCAGACTAAGAGCGGTTCAAAATGACCCCAATGAAAAGCAGCCCACGGACTTCAGTCACCTCGCCCGGACCAGGGAAACCGGGGCACCCTCCCGGAGCCAGACCCAGGAGGGGAGCTCGTCGGCGAGCGTCTGGTGGCCGGGCCTTCGCCCATGGGGCCCGGTCGGGCTCAGCCCGAATAAACAGCATGGAGCAGCCACCCTGTGGACCCACCACCCGCAGGGATAAGCATCGGGGTTGGGTGCAATGCAGACCGGCGGCGGGTCAGGCGGGAGGCCTGGGCGAGCCGATCGCCGGCAGCATAGACTAGCTCTAGGGACGTGGAACGTCACCTCGCTAGCGGGGAAAGAGCCAGAGCTGGTGCAGGAGGTGGAGCGGTACCAGCTAGATATAGTTGGACACACGCACACGCACACACACACACACACACCAAGCTCCTGGAGAGGGGTTGGACTTTGTCCTTTTCCGGAGTTGCCCAGGGTGAGAGGCGCCGGGCGTGTGTGAGGATACTCACGAGCCCCCGGCTGAGCGCCGCTGTGTTGGAGTTCTCCCCGGAGAACGAGAGGGTCGCCTCCATGCGCCTACGGGTTGCGGGGAGCAAGGCTCTGACTGTGGTTTGTGCTTATGCATCAAACAGCAGTTCAGAGTATCCGGCCTTCTTGGAGTCAGTGGGAGGGTTCCTGGAAAGGGGCGCCGCCTACCGACTCCATAGTTCTCCTGGGGGACTTCAACGCTCACGTGGGCAGTGACAGAGTCAAGCTGAAGAAGGAGACCTTCAAGGCCTGGTTGGCCCAGGGGTCTCCCGAAGCAGCTGACAGGTACCGGCAGGCCAGAAGGGCTGCAGCTGCGGTGGTCGC